ACCGGGGTCTCTTCCCGCTCGGTTTTGTCGGCCTCTGGCTCAGGGAGGCCCGACACAAGAGGCTTCTAGACACTCTGAAAACAGTGATTATTCAATCTCAGACCTCTCCTGCCAAGCAGGATTGCAGCCAAGGAGCTGTGGATGCTTGGGGGCAGGGTGGGGGTGGGGTGCTCTGTAACTTACAAAGACTTAGGGATTCCTGGGGCCTTGGGAAGACAGACCTAGGGAAGAGTACAGGCAGAAAAATAAAAACAGAAGCAATTTTTAATTGGACCAATGTGTAGCCTAAATATCTTCTTCCTTTTTTCTTTGTAATAATTTTGGGTAATATTGTGAGAATTGGAATAGCTTTGAAGGGCATGGTTGATTGGTCACAGCTGTCCTTTGCGGCCCAGGGATGGCTTCTCCTTTAACAGTTGTTCCCAAGGTACCCCTTCAAGGCTCACCGGGCAACAGATCTTCTTTTAGGATTGTTGGGAATTTATTCATTTCAAAATAATAAAAGTTTAACTTAAAAGCATTACTAGTATAGAAGATTTCCTACTGAGGTTAAAACTGCTATCCAGTTTGGAGTAAATTCATTCATTCCTTTGGAAGTTTATTTGTATAAGTTCTTCAAAGAGCGTTAATTTGGAGTGCAAACGTAATTGACTCTGAACACAACCACGGTGATTCTGAGCTGTCTTATTGCCGTTTTATCAACCAAACCTGAAATGAGACCTGCCCTTTTCCCTTCTGTCAGCTTCTGACTTCTTTCTTTTTATTTCTATAAATGAGACTTTAGAGTTTCTGTTATGAATAAAACTGTAAAAATGTTCCCTTGTGTTTCTTCCAAGGCAAGGATCTGGAGGAGTTAAGGCACATTAACTTCATCCCGGAGGCATGGCTGGTCCGGGTTACAGCCAACCATTACCACGCAGTGAGTCGCCAGCTCAGCAAAGAAACAATTATTGAAATTTATTGCCTCTGACTTGGCTTTTTCTGGTGGAGATGTGTTTCACATTTGAAACCTCTGGGCCTTTGAGGTCAGGACATATCTGGATCCTCTTCCAGGGGAAGTGGGAAGAGCCAAGCCTGGGAAGGGGAGGAGGAAAGAGGCCCAGCCTTGGAATCTGGGCACTTAGAGCATCTGCCATGTTGGGCTGGAGAGTTAGATGGAGTGGGGGAGCACGGGTCACACTGTCCTCCCAATCGAGTCCCCCGACAGACACAAATGAAACATGTGCTTGTTAGTGAAAATGTTCGAAATGCAGAGAAATTGAAAGAAAAGAAATACACTGAGACCCAAAGACTGCCACTGTGAACATCTCACTGCATTTAATTGCCTTCAGTCTTTATATACATGTCTAATGCACTCAGTTAAAAGCACTTCCTAACACCATGTTTATTGGCTGCAAACTCTTCTACTGAGAGGGTGTGCCATAACCAATGCTAGTTTGTCATTCCTTTATTATAGAAAATTCAAGGTGTTTCTAATTGTTTACGGTTATATGTGACAGTATGGGCAACATATTTGCATGTAATCATTTATTTTACTACACTTTGACTTATTTCCTTATAGGAGATTCTCAAGAGTAGAAATATTGGCCCAAAAAGGAATACGCATTTTTGTGCTTGGTACATATCAACAAATGTTGGAACCAAATTACTCTTCCCCCAGTAATAAATGAGCATGTCTCACTTTGTACTCCCTCAGCAGTGGAGAGCATTGTAATTTCAAACCACTTTTGCTGACTGAGAAGGGAACAATGGCATCTCATTTTTTAACATGCATGTCCTTTATTACTAGCAAATACGAATATTTTGCCATGTGGCATTTCCTCCTTTGTGAATTGTCTATGCAAACTGTCGTCCTTCTAATGTGCTTCCAATTTTGCATTTTTAGAGATGAAGTAGGGCAGTGTTTGAGTTCTGAAGATGCATGAGTCACTACTTAAAATTCAATCCAGTTCAACAAATACCTATTGTAATGTGCAAACCACAGTGCTCTGAGCTCCCTGCACCGTAGATAATGACTCGGAGGAACATAACTCAGAACTACCCTCTAACAGCAGTGGAGGAGCAACGGAGAGAGGGGACAGTCTCTGGGGCTGACACCTCAGGAAGTCCCCACCTTCCTCTTCATCCCGCACCTCCTTCTCCACACCCTCCGACCCTGCCTACCTCCTTCCTTTTGCCCCCAGCTGCCAACGTCATCCTCCTCCGCCGGCACCATGGAGCCTGCCATGCAGTCTTCACTCACCTTTGACTTTATGACCCTAGTCATTCTCTGCCTTGTGATTGGGCTCTTGCATACACATTTTACTTCCCGGTGACACTGCTCGGGCATTTTTCCTTTTCTCCTCTTTGCGTCCTCTGAAAGAAGGCATCGGGCACAGAACCTTGCACATCGTAGGTTTTCAGCACGTGCTTGTGGACTGGCTGAATTGCTGAGTGCAGAGTCTACAGACAGAACTCTCTTTTGAGCGTGGTGGGGGTGTGGGGTGGGGATGAGGAGAGGATCAGGCTGCCCTTAAACTGTGTGCTTTTCCCTTTCAGCTGATGAGTGGGGGTGACATGGCCCACCTGAAAGATTTTACCACCCAGGCTGTGAGATTCGGGCTGCTCTTCAACCAGGTACTGAAAACTGGACCTGAAGGATTAATCGTCCCTCCCATGCTTGGTTATGGACCTCTGCAGGGCAGCACACAATCCCTTCTTGTCTTTGGTAGGAAGGTCAGGGGAGAAAAGGGAATCGTGGGTGTTTTCTTCTGTGTGCTCACCAGTTCTAGGAAATAAAATTCACAAGACAGGGGCCTGGGACAGGCTGTTCAGTAATCTGATGTGTGTCCCAAATTTCCCCATGGAGATTACCAACTGTCCCAGTGTTCTGGGGGGGGTGAAGGAGTTTCCCTGGGATGCAGGACTCTCAGTTCTAAAGCCAGGAAAGGCCTGGGCAAACTGGGATGAGTTGGTCACCCTATTTCCCACAAACATCAACAGCTCCCAGCTGGCTCAATAAGAGACTCCACTCCAAGCCCATGCAAGGGTAGACTCATTCTTGGCAGCTATTTGGATGGATTCCAGAATCAGACTGCAGTGAGTCAAGGAGCTCAACTTCAAGGCATCTTGGTGCTCAGTCACCAGGGCAGGGTCTGTGCTTACT